CCCACCTGATGACCCCAATGACATCACCACTCCACACCGACTGCTACTGTCAAGAGTTTCCTTCTAAAGGGATTGAAACATCTAGTTCTATTAGCTTTACTTTACTTACAGTACTAATACTACAGTACTACAGTACTACAGTACTAATACTACAGTACTACAGTACTACAGTACTAATACTACAGTACTACAGGTACTACAGTACTAATACTACAGTACTACAGTACTAATACTACAGTACTAATACTGTATATATAGTACTAATACTATATATATATAACATATATCATATAACTGCAGTATTTGGTAGTATTTGGTAGTAGTAGTACTAACTGCACTATTTGGTAGTTGTAGTACTAACTGCAGTATTTTCTGTCTTTCAGGTGAACGACATCAACTTTGAGAACATGAGTAACGACGACGCTGTCAGAGTCCTCAGAGAGGTCGTCCACAAACCGGGGTCAGACATCTCATACTAATACTACTAATAATACTATTAATACTAATAATACTGATAATAATACTGCTAATAATACTAATAATACTACTAATAGATCAGCCATTGTGGTCTACCTTTCAGTTTCCTTCTGAACCCTTAAATCTTGACCCTTATACCCCCGGCCAGTGTGGGATTGTTGGTTTAATGAACTACTAATACTATCTGTCTGCCTGTCTGCCTGTCTGTCTGCCTGTCTGTCTGTCTGTCTGCCTGTCTGCAGTCCAGTGACGTTAACGGTGGCAAAGTGTTGGGATCCAAACCCACGAGGCTGCTTTACACTGCCAAGGAGTGAGTCAACAACACACATCTTGTTACTCATTAAAATAATCTATTACCACGCTCGTACTAACCTTAACCCTTCTTAAGCCCCTCCCCTTTTGCTCTGTGCTCCAATAGCAGTTGAGCTAGCCCTGGTCAACTTCCTCGTTTCCTGTGCTTATATATGCTATGCTAGGCTAATCTAAGTTGAAAGGTTAAAAGATAAAAGAGACATATAGACAGAATGTAATCTATTACATCCTTTATATAACCCGCTGTATGAGGTGTTACATCCTATTATCTGTTGTTCTCCATCATCCGTCTTTCCTGAAGGCGAGCCGGTCCGTCCGATCGACCCCGCTGCCTGGGTGTCACACACCGCCGCCATGACGGGGAGTCTACTCCCACACTATGGTAAGACTCCCATCAGCCACTGCAGCATCCATCCATCGCCTGTTTCTCCATGACTCCAACAGTAATGTGATGTTCTTCAGGCGTGCACGAAGAAAACCATCTCACCATCCACAGCGACATGACGGCTGTTGTCAAGGCGATGGCCAATCCTGAGTCGGGCCTGGAGGTTCGGGACCGGATGTGGCTGAAGATCACCATCCCCAACGCCTTCATCGGTAAGATGCTCGGTTGGATGCCCCTGCCAAAGCAACCGTTAGCTTTGTACCGGCTAAAATCAACAGCGTGTCAGAATACATTAGTTAGTATCACGTTAGCTGGGGAAGCTAGTTAGTATTTTGCAAGTGACAATATTAGCGAGCAAGCTAACGTTATCCAGCTAAAACACAACATCACAAATTATTCCACAAGCTTTGCATTAATGGTAGCTTTAACTCTGGGTGTCGGTTGTTTGACGTTAGCAGTTAGTCAGAAGTGATTCTCTCAGAGAACAAAATACTACAGTACCCAGAATCCTCAGCAGCTGTTGTTCCATCCAGAGCTGATCTAAGATCTGATCTGATCAAAGATCTAACTCCAGTCTGTGTCCGGTCTGTCCAGGTTCAGACGTGGTGGACTGGCTCCACTGTAACGTGGAAGGCTTCACTGACCGCCGCGAAGCTCGCAAGTATGCAGGAAACCTGCTGAAGGCCGGTTACATCAAACACACCGTCAACAAGGTGACCTTCTCTGAACAGTGCTACTACGTGTTCGGGGACCTCTGTGGAGGTGAGTCCAGTAAACAGCTTCTATTAATGATAATTAAATATAAATCATATAATCAGCAGTTTATTCCTGAACACACCTAAATGCCAGTATAATCTCTTAATGTCACTAATCTTAATACATCCAGTGATTTCTGGCAGGAAACTGGAGCAGATTTTGGTGAGAAACACCAGGACACCAGGATCTAGTCCTGGTCCCCTCAGACCAACAGTATGTTTGTGATTCTGTCTGTCAGATCTGGGTCTGATGTCTCTGCTGGATCAAGAAGAGGCCTCCAGTCGTGGAGGAGGATCAGATGGTGACCCCCAGGCTCCAGCATCAGGTCCCCAGTGGGCCCCAGCCTTCCCCTACCAGTACCCCGTCCCTCACCCCTACAGCTCGCCCCACCCCCTCCCTCAGCTGCCGGCCTGGGGGGGAGGAGGAGAAGGCAGTCAACACAGTGGAGGTAAGAGAGCCGTACATGTTGACCAAACAAAATAAAACTAAAACCGTCTCTGTTAGTTTCCAACAATCAGGATCATGGACCCTCCCCCCTGAGGCCGGTACACAACAGAAGATTAAGTTTTTTTGTGGGTTGTGTTCACAGGAAGTCGTAGCAGCGGATCAAACTGTAGTGACCGTCTGAAGGAAGGAGGGGGAGGAGAGAGCGGATCAGAGCCCACCAAAGAGAGAGTGAGCACTTCACCTGACAAACAGCTGGTGGCGGACTCCCTCACTGCTGCCGCCGGCACCCGTCAACCCCCAACCTCCTTCTCTGGTCTCCATGGTAACAAAGACTCTAAGGACCTCCCGCCGGCACCGTCGCCATCTCAAGCTCAGCCTGGCGACCTTTCTGCTTCCCGGCAGTCCTTCTGCCTGGCCATGGGAAACCCCAGTGATTTCTTTGTGGATGTCATGTGATGATGATGTCACAACCTGTCCTGGTTTTAAAAAGAAGACATTTGTACAATCTGCTGACGCTGATCAAAGAACCATATTTAAGTTTTTAAACTCCACAGAAGGAACTGAACGAATGAAAGAAACTTTTGTGTTTAAGCATTTGAACTCATTCAGGGACGTTTAACTTCAGTAGAACCTCGTTGATGCTGAACGCGGTGTTTGTTTTGGACATTCCTCCAGCAGAGTCCTCAGGCTGGGTCGTCTCCAGGACTACATCTATATACTCAGAACAGTTTGAGTACCTTGGGTCTTTATTGGTTTACTGGGAGATCTATACCCAGAAACATATCAGTTTATCGTTGGGAACCAACCAAAGTGTCATATTCTGCAGGTCGTTGTGAAGCTCCCTCTGTTGATGACTTTGATTGGTTGATTGATTACAATTGTTCCACTTAAAACTGGTGGAAGCACAGTGAAAGAAGAACAGAACAGATTTGGTGGAAAAACACTACCAGATACTCAGAAAAGTATCTTGTGGTCTTTGTATGTCTTTTACTGGACTACCGAAGCTCTCGGTCTAACGGTGGATCTCTGGTTATGAACTTTGGTGAGTAAAAGAAGGAGATTGCCATCAGGAAGGAGGTTGGAGGAGGACTGCTATATGTTATAAGCAGTCTGTTCAGGTGGTTTGGAGGTTTCTCTTTAGAGGTATTCTGGCCAACTGGAAGCAGACCTGGACCTTGCTGAGCCTGCCGCCACCACGTTCAGGCTTCGGGGTTCTTACACTGAAGAGTTAACAAGGTGGAATATTTGTTTACTGGCTCATTATGGACCAGTTTGTGAGCAGGATTCAGGTCTCAGTTCTGTACCTCAGTGTTTATCTTTCCATTGTCTTCACCTGCAATCATATTGTGCACACCTTTAATCATATTAATATATGAGATATCAGTCTGATGTTTTTATTTATGAACATAGTTTTATTTTCCTCTGCTGCTCGTCTTCACTCTCTGAAGAGTTTTAACATTAAAAAATGTCCAACAAACCTTTTGTGTTGATTTGTTTTTGTTTTATTTACAAAAGATGAAAACAGTCAAATAACAGATACTTTTAATTTGAAAATATGAATATCGATGTTACAGATCCATGTACCAATCAATATTCCTTAGACTTATTAACTTTTATCAGAGAAGATATTTATGTCTCAACACAGTTCGTGCACTTTAATTTGAAATATTCAGTTTGAGAACGTTATGGAGGTGTCCCATGGAGATGTGTTCAATAGCGCCACCATGTGGTTGGTTATCAGCTGTACGTCCTACAGAGCTGATCTATATCAATATCTGTATCTCCACAAGTCCACACAGACATTGTTATACGAACCAGATATCAGGTTTCTAACCACAGTGACTATAAATGTTTATTAATATTTTGATGTGTGATTTCATTCAGAACAATAGCGCCACCTGGGCTGGATGATTTATAGGCCACGCTCATTCACGCCATAAAACATTCCACCATTTTGGATTTTTTGGATGAAGCTGACCAGGACTTACTTAACAGCCATAATTCTTCACTGCTGAACTGAACTGAAGTTTAGGAATGTTGTTGTTGAGACATTGAACATGTGTGTAACATTTTATACAAATACACCAACAATAACTCTACAATAATACTAATTTACAGCTACAGGACAGAGTCCAAACAACAGTAACAATATTATATTGTGATATAGGTCAGAGATCTGTACTGTCTATTTGAATATATAATAGTAATAATATGAGGTTATTAACTTTATTTTATAAGTTTTAGTGAAGTCAAATAATTAGATTTTTCTTTTAAAGATAGTAAATAAAGATTCTATTTGAGAATAATACTAAGGCACAGAGGTCAGGACAGATACAGAACAGAGTCAGTGCTGTAGATACAGG